TCCCAGGAATCTTTTTGGTAGCCAAAATGGTCATCCATACACCCAAAACAATAACTACTTAATTATTACCTATAATTGATGGTGCTTGGGGAGATATGAGATTGTCGAGCCCAGTATCACAAACGTAATGTTTTTGTCCCTCGATCCCTGGCAGCACCTCCACATAACCCTCTTTTATTTGAAGCAAATATTAATTAATTGAAGCATTTTTATGAACCCTTGCATAACCTCATACATGGTATTTATTGTAATTCAAGACACGCCAGATGATTTCAGTTATCCTGATTTGCAAAGATGGTCCCCTAAGTAATGCAAAGCAGGGAGACAGCCACTCTAACCCAGGGACATTTTAATTAAACAGCAAAGTAATTTGATTCCAACTGAAGACAGCGTGACCTAATACAACTTGATATGCAAGTCATAGATCAAATTTTAAAGTTATAACCACAAAAACCCCCCACAATTTAGATATGATCTGTAAATATAGAGTTGGTCAGAGCACCGGCCATTTACAAAACAGAGGGTTAGGTATTCATCTCGTTACTCAGCAACATCTCCTAATCATTGCTGTTAATCACTGAAAACATGTTTACTTTTCAACATGAGCTGTGACACCAGGAAAGGAGGTAAGAGAGTTTCAGCCTGCAAGATTACGTGTGGAGCCGAAGGCAGCAGCGAACAACGCAGGCTGCAGTCTCTCTGCACAGGGGCACAACCGCAAGAGCAGCTCACAAAAGGATTGCTCCAAGCTCCCTCCCACCTGTGCGCTGTGGCACACCAAGGTGTGTTGTGCTGGCAGTGACATGTGAGCCCCCACTGTAAAAACAACGAGCTGATCTCCGTTACAAAAAGAAAGCATTTCCAGGGATTCCCTGAGTGGGTCTACAACACAGCACTCACAGCAACGCACTGTTGGATGCCTTAAGCAAGCACTTCCACTGACAGAAAACACAGCTTGAAACTATGGCCTGGAAAACTCACTGGACTTAACTCCTCTGGGGCTCAGCGAGGCACAGGTACAGGGATGCTCCCCTGAAGACTGCTGAGGTATGTATTCGATGACAACATTGCACAATAATTCTTGTTGCAGGCTAAGTGAGAAGACTGGAGGCACCCGAATGTTAAATCTCATGCTTCGGCCATATGATTCTCCTACCTCTCACCTTACGCTAGCTCACAAAACTGCAGTGCACACAGCACAAATGCTGCACCTGACCCAGAAGATCCCAAGAGAAGACTGCACCACAGTGAGACCCCAGAGCCAAAAGATTTGTCCTGTCTTCAATTCTTCCTTATCACATGTGCACAAGACTCATGGTTCCTCATTAAATGAAGTCTTGAGCATCTGCAGACAGAGAAGTTGACAAATCTGCGTACATTCCAGGCATATTTTATTCCAGTTCTATAGCCCCGGCTGAGAATTTCAGAAAGTTGCTCACTTCAGACATCTTGGCCTTTAGATTCTGGCAACATGAAATGATTTTAGGGCTAATAAAGTCAATTCGTAATGATGTGATTATTTAGTGCTAATGAAAAAAAAAAACAAACAAAAAACCTAAGAAAGCAAATACTCCACAAATAGAACAAAGATAGCTAAAGCTGACTGACAGTGTTGCTGCAAAAAAAACATTGGCAAAAAAAGAAAAATAACATGAGAAGCTATTGCAGTGAGGCCCTACAATGAGGACATAAAAGAAAGGAGGCAAGACTCCCCCACAGAGCCATGAAAGCGACAACAATCCAGAAGCAGAGCAGATATCTAGAGAAACTTGAAATCACTATGTCATGGCAGAAGGGTTGGGCTAGATGATCTTTACAGGTCCCTTCCAACCAAAACGATTCTATGATTTAGTTCCTGCAATAAAATCATTACATGATGTAGCATGGTACAAGATGAACAGCTGTGTACTGGCTTCTGAGAACTATTCCAATTTAAAAGCAGAAATATCTTTCTTCAAAAAAAATGTAAAAGACTAAATGGATTTTGGTAAACAGAGAGCAGGCTGACATGTCTCTAAAGACTATTTCTCATAAGACGACTGACAAGCCTTTAACTTGGCTCTTCAGCACAATTAATTGAGTCTACAGCAAAACATCACTGAAATAGTCCTTTCAATCTGAGGAATTTTGCTTCATACTGCAAAGAAACCTCTGCCACTTCCTTTGACATACATGTCCAATTTCTGTATGATTCATCTTTTTCTGGTTTTCATCTGACCAATATCACGTTCAGCCCAACATATTCACCAGACATGCCCTCCTGAAAGGCCTTAAGTGAAATATCTTTCAAATAAAAAAAAATACCACAGTGACAGTTTAATGCTATGCAAATATCTCAACCAATTTTTATAGCATATGATCTGTAGCCCTTACTCAGCACTTTGTTCAATGTCAGTACATACCCCATCCTGGAAGTGTTCAAGGCCAGGCTGGATGGGGTTTGAGCAACCTGGTCTAGTGGGAGGTGTCCCTGACCATGGCAGGGGGGTTGGAACTAGATGATCTTCAAGGTCGCTTCCAATCCAAACCATTCTATGACTCTGTGATATGTGATGCAGGACTCCAGTACCAGAATGATGTAGACAAATTAACAGCTACCAAAGGAATGCAACCCATCTTTGCAGCTAACCATAAAGACTATCAATTGAGCAAGGCACAGAATAGACTTTAAATCTAATAAAACTTAGCGGTTTCATTTGTCTTGTGTTTTGATAACTAACAAATTTTCTTAAGATTTGCAAATAGGAAGATAAATGTTCTATTTGTGACTGACTCCACAGTAACCAATTAATTTATGCAATAAACAATAACTTTTTCTTCTACAATAAAGAGTGATTATTTAAGCACCATGTTCCTTCTGTTCCAGATCTGTTTGTCAGGGACTATAAAACTCAAGAGGATGCAGAATTTAATTCTATGTGGCAGAACTGTGTACCTACCTACCTTTACTGCCCCATCAATGCTGATAACCTACTTTTCAAGCAAATGAGGCACAGATAAACATGTTGCACCTTTCCTGCCACCTTTCAAAAAACCATTTGAACCTATGGGTCGATTTAAATGAAGCATGCCAGACAGAAGGAGGAAAGGCTCTGAGATAATACTCAAGTTGCAGCATCTCTTCTTGGAAAAGAACCCTGCAAAACTAGAGAAGAAGTAAAAAATGAAAGATTAAATCTTAGGTCTTTTTTATCAATCAAAGTCAAGATTAGTACAGTCACAGTACTCAATTAACTGGCTAGGGCTAGGAGTCCTAACACGTATTGCCCTCGGTGGCAATATAAAATTCTTCAACATCCAGGGCTCTAACCTCACTGATGGACAGGGTTACATCAGGAAACTATCATAGATCACTAGCCGTATTTCCAAACATCAGGCTGCCTAATAATAGACACCATTTCCATTGCAAAAGTGTGCTATGTATTGCCCAATCATTAATATTCATTTCAGCTGATTTATTTCAAATAGACTGACAACTAATTTAACATCAGTTTCATCTTTAAAGTGCTCAGAATGTATTGTTGGCAGGAAGTGAGACACTTTAAAAGATACTAAACTGAAAGCACACATACCCTGATTATATCCAGTATATCACCACAGTTTCTTTAAGACATGTAAAACACGGTACTACTTTTATATGCAGGCGGTGAAATCTGACTACAGCTGTCATACAGCACAGAAAATGGGTGCAATCCAGGAAAAAAACCCACACAGTAGTTACACCCAGCTGAAAAAAGGGAGGGGAAAAAACAGAAACAAACTAACTGCATCTTTATTTTTGTCAAGTTTTAATACAAAACAAACATAAATGAATCCCAGAGTCAGCAAAAACTGTCTGAAACCAAGCTGGATTTTCCTACCTTGGACCACCAGAGGGAACATTACTTGCACTTATGCCTGCCCCACTTAAAGGTGACATCGCTCTTGCTTAATGAGGCATGCAAACACAGTAACTCTGTGCATAGCACTTTGACAATAAAGGTTGCTCATTACATGCCTGGTTTTTATCTTAAGCATTATTTATGAGCCAGAGTCACAGCAGAGATTTGAGGCACATAGTACTGCTGAGAAATACTTGGGCATTTGCAGGCAACCATACAGGATGTAACTCGGGACTAAGAACTTCTACCTCACCCAAGGTTTCCCAACGTGCTCTGCTAAACTTTAAACCTACAGCAAGAAGCCAAAGCACACAGCGCACGCCACAGGCGAAGAGGAGATTTCTGTGACTACGATGCAAGAGCAACCAGACATATCTTTGGCACACGAGCAGCTGCAGAAGCAACAGCTATTGCACAGGGCAGGCAGGGCAGTGCCGAGCCATCTGAATCATCCTGCATTCCCTGTAGCACCTGCCTGGCTCAGGATTCAACCTTACACAGCATTCTCCCAAGTCATGCCAGCCTCGGGCCTTGACTTAAACAAAAGCAAGAACCCAACAGACACACAGAGCTAGCCAGCAGCTAGACAGTATCTGGGCAGTGGGTTACAGGGGCTCTCTCTTCATTGGCCTGTTTGGTGTTCCAAGTATTGCAGCTCTGTTTCCATCTCAGCTTCCTTCTACACTACTTCTGTCCCACACTTTTTCTTGCTCCCTGTTACTAACTTCTCTTTGTTGTGTCCATTCCATAAATGACAGAGCAAAGATGACATTGCTGTCACATTTTTCCTTTTTTCCATCAAAGGTACCTTGTTGAAAGCTCTACTACCTAAGCTCTCTGCAGCAGGTTCAACCTACTAAACTGTATTTGCACAAAAAGAGATGCCCCCAGTACTGCCAGACAGTAGGTGACTTGCTTTGAAACACTCACCTGTGGACTTCTGTAAGCACATCTCCAACTGTGATCTAAAGATTATGAACTTGCATAACCAAGTCAGCGTTTCTTTTCATGGTTTCAACAATCATATTTATTCCTTGGTTTAAAAGGTTTTGGTTCAACAGTTTTATAAACAAACTTCACAAAATGTGCAATATTTATAAACATAGTTCTTAGTTGCAGTGGTAGTAAGAGTCTTCACTTTCATCATAAAGTTCACTTCAGTTACACAACACAAGGTTGGTTTTGTTCCCCGTCTTCTCCCTCCCCCAATTGGCACTTCATTGTAAATTGGAGAAACTTTAAAAAGACAAAAAGTTAATCTAAGCATGATGTTATAAGCACCTTGCCACAGTATTACATTCTAATAAGGCAAATTTTTGTTTTGTAAAGTCTGATTGTGCAACTTGGAGACCTATAAAAGGTGACAGAAATGCCAGCCGTCTCCTATAAGGAACAGGCCTTTATTTTTGCTTCAAAGTTTTCACTGCTCTGCATGACCCCCCTTAAAAAAAAGTACAGCTGATAATACAGCAGAATATACCCCTTACAGGGGGAAAGGAAATTACAGTAGACAAAGGCTGAAAACACAGTGCATAGTAGACAAAATAAGACTGTTCTTAAAAATAAAATTAAAAAAGAAATAAAAGAAGAAAACGGAACTGAAAAACAAAAAACAATGGAATTTTTCTAGTGGAAGAGGATTTTTGGGCTTCATAAATAAGTGGAAAATTACTAAAATACTTTGCTATGTAATATAAAAAAAGCGCAAAGTGTTTTCCAGTTGTCACCTAAGCGCTAGATGCAACTTTGTAGGAGTAAGTATTTGGAGGCAGCTTAGAGCTCTGATTGGTACAGGCATTCCAGCAGGGTAACGCTGCCAACAGCAGAAGAAATCCACCCAGTAAGACACAAAAGCCACTGAAATAGAATGCAGTGTCATACTCCTGCGTCCAGTCGTAAAACCAACCTGAGGGTGAAAATAAGAGAGAAGTGCATCAGCGAGGAGTTACCTGTAACACAGCACTGAAAGTTAGAAAAACATCATGAAACAAACAAATAATAAAAAAGGCCAACTCTAAAATGCAATTTGACCACTTAGACACGAAATGTGCTTTTCGTCAAAGCCAAAACCAGAACACAATCTGCTTGCCCAGCTCAAGCAAAACAAAAAAAAAATAGCTTTCATTTTTGTCGAAGACTTTGACTTCATCTTTACATTGTTATTAGGACCAACTAGAACGACTCGCATGCAAATTAATTCTGTCTGGTCCTGACAAGCTCATGTTCATTTTATACTATCTACCTTGACCTTACCTACAATTGGTGGTCCGAGGCTATTTCCAAGTCCAGCAAAGAACATCAATATCCCATATGCGTGAGTCAGTTTCTCAATTCCCACAGTCTTTGTTGTTACATACGGAAAAATTGACCAGTTCCCAGTCAGGAAACCCAAAATCCCAGAAAGCATCGCTAACGTAAGGTAACTTTTGGCAAATGGAATTGCAAACAAGGCCACTCCTGTCATTAGTAAGGTAGTTACATATAGATATAAAGTGTTAACCCACTTAAAATCTGCCAGTATTCCTAAAGTAAGTTTGCCAACAGCAGTCATAATGCCTATAATGGAAATAAGGGGCATATGATAGTCATCTTCATTAATGTTTGCACTTCTTGCTACATCTTCCATGAGCAGAGAAGGAGGAAATCCACCAATATCAAAGAGCAAGATGGCAACAAAGAGAGCTGAAAATACTTTGTTCTTAAAAAGAACCAATGTTTCTTCCCAGTAGTTCAAATAGAGCTGCCACTTCCTTTTGGCGAGTTGCTTGCAGAAGTTTGTCTGTTCTACAACTTTCTTTTTATAAGCGTCTTTCTCATTTACATTTATTGAGCTTAATACATTCTTATTTAAAATGCTATCCTGTTTGCAATCAGGCATGTTGTTCGCACATTTTTCATCAATGTAGCCCTTTTCAAGGATACTTATATTTTCTTCAACAGTCTTTTCTTTTTCATGGTAAACAAAATATTGATCTGGGACTTTGTCTACACATGTTTTTTCTGGTGGAGGGCAATCAGACGACTCCAATGGTCTCATTAGGCTGCCACATGCTAATATATTTAGAGACAGTGCGCCAACTATTAGCAGACAACCATCCAGTCCATACAGATCAATAAGCTCTCTTTGCAATGCTGCATATATAAAGAGTCCAACACTTGAGCCTATAAAAGGAAAATAGGATCAGTTTAAACTGAAGAACTGAGAACATTCCTCAACACTAACAAACCTCTACATTTCAGCAACTAAATACACTGCCACAGGAATGGTGAGTCATTTGTGCTCCTCTCTCCCCGGTCTAATGAACGGGTATCTTGAAGATACAGTTTCTTTATGCAGTATCCACAAAACAAAAAGCCTTCTGAAAATTTATGACAATTAAAACTAGTAGACATTCTAGAAACAAGTGGGATCAATACTATACCTGATGAAAAACATCAATGAACTATTAAGCCATCCCTCTGCCATGCACTCACATACATGTATCCTTTCAGGTACCATTTTGAGTTAGCACAGTTAAAATTTCACACACCAACGTTTTCCTCTTTCTCCTCCTCACTGCCACCTTCCTCCTCTATGGCAGGAACAGACGAGGGGCTCATCAAGAGCCCTCCTAGAAACATCCCTGACTGCTTGGTGTTTAAGGAGGGGGGCTCACATGGTGTGATTTTTACTCCAAAGGCATTTCTGAAGCTCTGCAGGGCCAAATATGCATTTGAGAAATTTGGTTATTCAGAAGAAAACACTGAAGAGTAAGCAATTACTATGAACACAAGCATTTTATGCAATCCCACCAATTTAAAGAAAAATCTCTCAGTTGAAGTGAGCGTAGATCCATTGTATTCAATGGATGTTCACTCACAAATACAGAGCATTGGTTTTTCAAGTCAATTTAAAGACAAACTTTAAATTAAAATGATTTTCTGAAGACTGTCTCTAGGTTATATTAAAGCTATTGATATACTTCAGTGCTAAACACAGGAAAAAGTAATTCTAAAATTCAGATTTGTTTTGTCTTCCAGGTACTAAAATTAACCAGGGCTCAATAAGATCAGGCCTTAAGGCAAACTACCTGGAATCCCAACAAAAGCCACTCAAAATGATTCCAAAGAACACTTCTGCAGAAGTTCCCCTTTATTCCACTGGTGTGGTTTTGGCATTAATATCTCACAACACTGACTGTACTGACCAGGCCTCTCCTCAATAACAGCTACTTGAGAAAACAGATCAGAGGAGAGACTCCATACAACACAAAAGGCAAGGCATGGGACAACAGACTTCTTTAACAGCTCCTACTTGGTCCATTAATTTAGCTATTCTTCTTTGTGTAAAGGACAACACCACACAACCTAAAGACCCAGAGAGAGAATGAGAAAGACTACTCAGCATCCTTCAAAGAATTTTCCTGGTATTATCAGAGGTTTGTTTTTCTAGGATCTCTTTAACATACATGGACAAAAAGCTGGGATGAACTTTTGGAAGATTTCAGAATTTAGTCTCTTCTGAGACTGGAAAGGAAAAAATATTAGCCCAAAATTCAACTATTCTTTTAAAGGTACATCTAGTGTGGGGTTATGGTGATCCAGCACTTACAACCTGCATCTCCAACCTCTTTCTCACCTCTGATCTTGTGTAAGAAAGAAGAGGGAGAAGAGAGGTCTACTGAAAGTTTGCCCTCTTATTACCCACGGCATACAGCCCAAGCTCCTAGTGAGGTCTGCTTTCATTTTAGCTTCTCATCTATATGGATAACTCATACCATATACCTGCAAGTGTAGTTACTATTTCATCTGAAGCCTGATTTTATCTGTTCATTGCTACTGAGGTTTTGACTTAAGTACTACTTCAGGAAGTAACTGAGAAAAATATAATCTCCTGGTTTTTATTGCCAGGGTAATGGTAACTGCATCAGAGTTGAAAAGTTAGAGAGAATGACAATTAAAAGTCATACCTGTTGAAATCAGACCAAGTGCAAGGCCTCTGCGTTTGTCAAAATAGTGGCAAGTGATGGTAACTGTTGCGGTATACAAAAGGCCACATCCAAGTCCTTGAGAAAAAGTTAGAAATAAAGCATGTGACGCACTCTGGGAAATGAAATGCCCCTTTTTATTCCCCAGATAATACAGTAGCATACCCTGGGCACAGAGGTACCTTTTAACCCTGGCTCAGCACCAGCCACACCAGCCTCATGCTGACAGGGCCGTTAGGCTGCCTGCACCGTCTCACCTCCCTCTCCCCCGACCGTCCCCGGCTGCAGAACCTGTGTGGAGCAGGCTGGGTTTGAGGCATTCACCAGCTCAGGTTCTGTGCTGCGGGGAAGGGTTACATGGCTTTCAGTCCAGAAAACAGCAGAGCTGCATCCGTGTGGCACCGTGCCCCAGCCAGCATGCTGCTGGGTTCCCGCTGGCCAGCAAGGGGCCTGGATTCCTGACACAGTTAATTTGACAGACCACCCACAGCAGCCCTCTGCTGCACAGAGAGGCAGGTCATCACCTGCTAGGAGAACAGCACTTTTGTGCCTCTTGCACAGCATTTTAGGTTCAATCCAGTTATGTGGAGAATAACATCGGTCCCTAATGATCTCTAATTTACCAAATTAGAATGAGTACATGACAAAATTCCAGAAGAGGTGTCATTCCTTTAAATTGGCACTTTATGCCTGCAGAAGACCAGCTTGATTCCACCCCTTGGGTAAAACCCCAGCTTCTCCATCTCTAACAATCATGCCAACAGAGGATAAGCTGTTTTCTACCCTGATGAGCATATGCATTGCCTTTATCTTTCACTACATGGCAACAGCCTGCCTGTGTGACATCCCTCCTCCCCCCAAAGTATTCCTTGATAAATCAAGTCCCAGACTACCGCTGCCTCTGTGAATTGGTTTTCCGTTTCAGATTCAGAAACCAAGACTCAAAATAATAAAGATTAAGTCTTTGTATGAGAGGAACATGTTTCTTACCAACAACAATCCCATATGAAATATATAGAAAGTATATGTTAGGTGCAAAACTGCTCATCATGAGGCCCCCGGCCACCATAAAGCCACTGAAGATTGCTACGGGTCTTGCTCCAAAAGATGATACACAGATACTGCAGACAGGACCTAGAGGAAAAGCAGGAAAAACATTCCTAGTAAATACCAACACCAGGAAGAACTTCTAAAAAAATCTCAGTCTATGGAAATGTTTCTTACGATAATTACTTAAATATATAATTATATTAAACAACAATTTGGAATACTTATTTTACAGGATTCTTTAAAAGAGTCGCTTACAAAAACATACAAGATCAGGCCTGCAAGATTTTGGCTTAAGGAGAAACTGACATCAAGACCATGAAGTGGTACCAGGGTTGGTAGGGAGAGAGCAAGCAAAACATTCTTTAAACAAAGGATGATACATACATACTAGACTGTAACACTGTCACTACACACCTAAGGACTTGTACCAAGGTTCTAAAAAGAATCTTCCTCTTTAGGTACCAAAACAAGTTAGACCATCAGCCAGGCTTTAACTGAGCAGGTATTTTTTGACAGAGACCAAAACCTGTGTTTGAGAAAAGAGAGTATCTGTACTCATCTTGATACAAGATAAGATTTCTAAAACTGAAATGGAAAATAGTAAATTCTGATCATAATCATGGTAAGAATGCCACCTGGTGCTTACATAGAGGAAATGTCTGCTGATATGCCAGATAAAGGCAAACACTACTCTTCCCCAATTTTCTAGGGAATTAAATATTTGTTAGTCAGTATCTCACCAAATAACTGTTTACTACCTATCTTGGTTTCTACTGTAAAACTAAGCAAAAATAAAAGGCATTTATTGAGAACGTCCAGAGCAACATCCATGAAGTTTGGAAGAGGTTTCTCCCCCTCCTCACCTCCCCCCCCAGTAGTTCTTGGTTGGTTAGTTCTTCAAAACAAGAACAAAGTGCAGGCAACTTTTGTACTCTGCCTCTACTCAGCCAGTTCTCCCCTCACTGAAGTTGTAGAACAAGCCCTTATTTTCAGTTGTGTGACCTGGAATACACCTTTTGGTCTGAAGCAGCATGCAAGCTTGGTGGCCTGCATAAATAAGCAACCAGCAAGGGACTTGGCTTGCAGAAGACAATCTCTCATCTGAAACTCCGCAGTTGCAAACATTCATACATAGACTTACATATGAGTCCCAAGATCCTAAACTCACCAACTTAGAGATTAGAAGTCAGATACACAGATAAATGACATTATCTAAAAACCAACAAAAAAAAACCCAACCCTCACCACCTTTGTATGTCATTTGCAGCGATACAAAGACACTCCACGGTCGATATAATCTGCAAAAGCTGCAATTTTGGAGTCTGCCATTTGTTAAGGTTGGTCCTCCCTGACTCACACATAACTGAGATTCCCAGCAGATGGGAGGTGAGCCCAGAGAGGTGATATGAGGTGAACAACAGTTGGAGCTGAGGACGGTGCTTGCCTAGGTTTGCAGACAGGAGCTAGCAGCTGGGAATGCAGGCAAGGTTTTCGTGTGGTTACCGGCCATGGGACAAGCAGTTCTGGCAGGCAGGACCACAGTTTCGTTAGCAGGTGAAATGATCCTCAAAGGCAAGGCAGGTCAGAACTTTTGCCCTGCGTAAGAGCTAGCTGCCTAGGGAACGTACAAGGAAACGAGCCTGAACTGGGGCTTATCCCGGCAAAGAGTCAGAGTTAAAGAAGAATCGAGAAAAATCTTTGGGGGAAATAGGGTTTATTTGGATTTTGGAAATGATGAAAAAGGAAGACGTAAGCGCTTGCAGCTTCTCAAGAGTCAGCACGCTGTGGGAATGAAAGCCAGCCAGAATAACTCGGGCAGAGCAACTTGCCGAGAACAAAAGCTAAGAGCATGATTGTTGCTGATTCTTAGAATTAATTACTAGAACTGGCAAATTAAGGTTGTTATGTTTCCTAAAACCACAGGATTTAAAAATAAACAAAGGATTGAATCTGTATTGCATAAAAAATTCTTCTACAGTAAAAGAACATTAGGTAGTGGTAACATAATTCAATTAAGCAGAGGAATTTGCAGTCTTTCTGTTCTTTATTTCTGACCCACTACCTTGCTAAAACAAACAGTATTTCCCTTCCACTTGCTCGCTATATTTTGACACAGCTACTTTCAGAAGGTCTCTGTCCAGCCTGGGTTGGTGGTACTGGTACAGACTGCACTGACTGCTAGTAGAGGATCCGAGGTGAAGCTGCACCCTCTGACCCCAAGCCAGAACAAGGGAGACACAGCGCTGAAAAACACGTCTTCATAATCTGACAAGGACACCCTCCTCTGGAACACCACCAAAAGCATCTCTGACAGGGTCCAAGGAGATGCTCTTCCAGCTTCTTCCACTTACAAAAAATAATCCAAAAGGAGAACAGAAAGTACAAAGAGATCTTTTTGCTCTGACGTGGAAAACAGCCTGCACAAAACTGAAGAACCTGCTCCAATAAGCTCAGTATTAATATGTCATCTCACACAGCAAGAGGTCTGGCAGCTCAGCAATGGCCCTGCTTATAAGAAAGAGCGCCAGTACAAGTATTAAAATAATTATTATAGGTCTCTGGGATGAGAAGAAAAACAGTTTCATCTTCCCCTTCACACTAGGCCCTACTTTCACACTCCCCTCATCGTACTGCTAGAAAATAAAAGTCACAAAAGAAAACCCCCATGACAGCCAGCATCTTTGTTCTTTTCCCTGCCTCCTCGCATTCCTTCTCTTTCTCTGTTTCCCAAAGAGCTGGCATTTTTTTCCTACCAGGCACAGTACCTTTGGTTATTACCATGGTATTTGCACAGGAGTTCACTGTACACAAACATGTTATTCTCTACAAGTAATTCAAGCACAATGGGTTCAAGGCGGTTAATTCTAGTCAAACATCCAACTTTCCCAGAGTGGGACTAAGACTTGCTCTGTGAACTCCTGCCCTGTGTATTTTGTTCAAAGTGGACATTCTGAAGAATGTAGGAGTCTACGTACAGCCGCATATGAAACAGCTCTTCAGGCAGCATAAGCGTTTTCATTAGCTGACTCTCTTTCAGAAAGATCCTTCCACTGATAATGTATTTCTCACCATAATGTGAACAACATAAAAATAAAATCCCAGCAGCAATCCTCAACAGTAAGCACGGAAAATGGCTTTTAAGCCAGCATTTTGTTCAGTTTGCCAAGCAAATCCAGGGGTTAGCACTGGTATTAGAATAATATTTGAAGACATTGATAGATATTTACCTCTTTTACAAATAAAATCCCTGGGGCTATTTTTCTTCCAAATGATGTCTTAAAATTCGATGATATTCTACCAAAAAAGATACCAGCCCAGTTTATAAGAATGACAGCTAACTCTAGGAAGAAAGTCTTGGAAGTCAGCACAGGGATAGCCAATGCTCTCCTGCACATGACCTGTCAAGGCTCAGCAACCAGTAATACAATTATCAGGCTCTGCAGGAGAGCAGTCAAGAAGATCCCTAGACAAAATGGGAAGAGGCAGCAGACAGAAGACGGACTCTCACAGTAGATCTTCGTGCAGAGACCAAAGAGGAAGAACTCCTCAGAGGAATCATTTGTACATTGATATTTTCATTAAGATTTTTTTGAATAAAAGACTTTATCCTCAGTGAGACCTGGATGTGACAGTGAGTCCTTCCTGAGATGTGAAAACAAGCCACCTGCTGCTCACACAGCAACTTTATAACCACCACGATCTTCTGACCTCCTGACAGGTCAAAATTGTTTTGTTCAATGGACATCAAGAATTAACACTCTCTTCCTCAATCTTCTCACATGAAGAGAAAAATTCTGCAAACTAACACTCCCTTCCTCCGCTCACCCATCTCAAGGGTCCTCCCTTCTTCACCTCATACACACATGAAACCTTTTGCTAAACAAACAATACTGGACAACTGAGTTCTTTTTCTTATCGCCTGCGTTAATCTGACCCACCCTACTTGCTGGTATCTGTCTGAGCCTGTTGAAACTGTAGAGTAGAAGCAATGCTTATGGACTGTATGTAAAATCCACGGAACAGAACACAAGAATATCTTTTGCATATTAAATGCATTGCTAAAACTTGGTCATAATAAATATAACGTTCTCCAAATGTTTGTACTTTGGATAAGAATATACATCAGAAAAAGCCTTTTTGCACTGGACAGCAACCCACTCCCAACTGATTGAAAAGAATGTTCCTTTCTGATAAAGTTATTAAATGAACTGGGCTCCTCTTCAGAGGAATCTTTGGGATATCTTCTCCCCTCCCCACAAGCTATGTATAGCTTCCATAGTTTACAGTGGGGACTCTCCATGTGAGAAGTTTTTGTCCAGAAATATGTAGATGCTGCAAAGTTTTTTTTGAGAGTTGTAAAAATATTGCTTGAAAACACAAAATTAAGCTTTTTAAACGTTTAACACTGAATGCCTCAGACCAGGAGAAACACCCCATTAATTTATCAAGACGTGCCTTTCAAGGGAGAATCTTCCCTTTGTTCTTCCTCCATTAATAAAGGGGAGTGGGAATGAGAGACATATTCCTGGTGTCTCCTTCTATGCCAAATACTGTGAATTCAACTCTTACTATAAACAGCTGTAGTGCCAATTACAGGTGCCAAGGTCTTTGTTTTGCCTTTAGCAAGTATAACATTGATCAAATTTAATCTCAGGCTCCAAAAGGATGTAAAATTAAGAACACTTGGTGCAGGAGAAACACACAATCTTTAACACTGTAATAAATGTCCTCCTCTGGCCTGTTTTAGTATGAGAAACACGCTAAGCTCTTTCAGTTTCTTCCTATGCAAAAGCCCTACATCATCCATGGAGCCATGTGCCACATCCACTATAGGCTGATGAGCATTACGACGCTTAATGTTGTAGAGGAGATCTCATCACTGCCCTGTACAATAACACTGATGCTCTTCTATCACTCTTTTAGGCACATTTCTTCCAATACACTGTAAAGTCACATGACAGAAAGTTATAACTCAGGTCATCCTGCAAGGAAGAGCTCAATCAGGTCCCTGTCCCACTCGCTTTTCCAGCTGATGAGCCAAGCAGTCCAGCTCGGGGCTGCGCACTGGCCATAGCAACGCTGCCTGTGCTGCCAGTAAGAGGACAGAAATCGAACACCAGGCGGCTACGAAATTCATCTCAACAAACAAGGTGCTGTCCTGGGTTTCCATGTCTCCAGTCTAAGTTTAGCTCTCACATAAGTCAGAAGTAAACACTGTAGAAAAGGATACAGCAAATGTGAAAGGACTCACCAGCATCAGCTACTTTAAAAAAAATGTTTAAGACTACATGTACAGAGGGAAGGGGAGAAAACACACAGAACCTTCTTCTCTGCCAGCTGGCATACATATAAGGACATTTTCTTCTTTTTGGCGAAATTGCAGTACTAATATAGCAAAGTCACTAGACCTAGCTTCCACTATTACAGAAGCTAGCTAATGTGATTTCCAGCGCTACCCATGAGAAAAGTCTTCCTTAAGAAAATGGACACTAACTTGTTTCCTGTATGTAGCTGCAAATCTACTATAACTGCCGGTCCTGGTTTGAGCGACACAGGGCTAATTTCTCTTGTAATGCTTGGGAAAACTGCACTTTTTTAGAAGACTCTAGCGTCTGAATTTGTGAAAATATTTTCTTCATACCCAGCTATGGTATGCGGGTTTCAAGGTCTCAGTATTTTCGAGCTCACCAGGTGCAGGGATGAGGAGGATCGACACCCAGGCACTTGACCCAAGCTGCACAACAGGATTATTTCATACCATGAACGTCACATTCAATATAAATTAGAAAGTTTGCTGTGAAGTGCTCTCTCTCCCTTGATGGCTGTGAGCCTGAGAACTTCTTGCCCCGGTGCCGGACCCCTGAGCCCTTCCCTTCCTCCTGAAGCCGTAGTGCTCACAGTGTCCGACATTTGCTGTCCACTGCCGGGAGTGCACAGCTTCCGACTGATAGAATGGGCTGAGTATAATCCTCGTACATTTTATATTGCTATCGGGATCAATACTGGTTCTTTAGTATTAATGTTAATTATTTATTCTTATTCTATATAATCTGTTTATATTTCAACCCTCATGTTTCCTTGGTTTTCCCTGATTCCCCTTCCCGGATGAGGAGGGCTCATCGAGTGATAGAATAATCATCTAAATGACAATAAATTGTTGTGGGTTTCTCAAACTGTAACACCGCCATTCTTTTTCCAATCTGGCATCTACAGCTTCAGAAAGATGATGTTAAGTTGGAGAGAGCTCACAGAAGAGTCTTAATGGCTCTCCAGAAAAGCCTTAATTTAAAGAGCTGAAGTCTCTTGTATCAATGGCAAAAAGGCTGTAGCAAGGTACAAGTTTAAAACAAAATTTAGAAGTAATTTGATTGCAGCCTCTAGACATACACCACACTTACTCAGAGACACTTCAAAATACACCACTTAAAGATAACATTATTCATCAGCTGAAAACTAAAACTAAGCAACTTATATCATAAGATTACATACTTTTAAGGAGGTAATTAACTAAGAAAAGTTGTAGGAGACAGAGAATGCTCTAAACAAACATGTTCTAAATCAAATGAGAATTACGGTATTTTCTGCATACAACATTGATTGCTTTAGGGTTACCAATACTTTAGATAACTAAATCAAAGATTGGAAATCAAAATAAAGGAGGAGAATGGAGAGAACACCAAATATTAGAAGAGCCAAGTTAGGAAGAGTAAAAGGCAAGGGGACTACCAAAAGGGTTTGGGGTCAAGCTGTCCTGTTACAGCATTCACACATGCAATATTGCTGCTGAAATCAGCCTGCTTGGGTAGATTAAGTTATTAAGTTACAGATAATGTCTTTGCACATACGTGAAAATACGCCAATTTAGAAAAATTCAATTATCCCAATCATCTCCTTAACATGGGTTACACCACACAATGGTCCCACCTGACCTATAATATTGGAACCTGCAATAGCAGAAATAAGAACAGAAAGAAGCAAGTTCTCTTTTCCTATATTCATGAAAATAGCCTTTGCAACGCGTTACATCAATGGTTTTGCACTGACAACACACACATTCTTTACACTAGTGACTAGGTCTGAAAAAGGCCTGCTATGAAAACTGCATGAAAAATTGTAACTTGCCAAAAGCATTCCAGTTTTAGGTAGAGATTATGATACTTACAGTGTGTCCTTCCAACAAGTTTACTTTAAGTAAAGTTATCATTAAGGTCAGATCCCAGCTTGATAAGTAAGTGGGATCTTCCATTTCAGGTAAAGCAGGGAACATGTATTTTGTTTTCAGTCAACTCTGATAATATCAATGCAATTAAAAGGCCCTCACTGTACTTTTCTTTCAAGGCATTAAAAATAGGAATGATTTTTAAGCTTCCCAAACTGAAAGAATAAAAGTACACTGACATACAGCATTACTCCTAACCCATCAAAATTTCAAGTAATTTAACCATTACATACCAAAATCAATTACAATAGTACCTTTTATTTGTATTACTCGGTCACAGCAGTTCCTATTTGCTATAAAGCACACTACTGACAATTGCTGACAGTGGCAAGACAGAGGGCAGTAAGAAATCTGGAAACTAGCATGGTGTTGACATATGAGAAACAGGGCTGAGGCTCTTGTCAGAAGAGTGAGCCAGAGACTTCTGGTCTCCAGGGAGAGGTTTTTTCTTCACCCCTTCTCTTGAAATCCCCTTCTGCCTAGTTTTTTCTTCAGTAACTATCTTGTTTAGCCTCCCCTGCCCCGCTTCATTTTCGCACTCAAGTTTATTTAGGTCTTGATCCATTAATAATAGGAGTTAATGCCCTTAAAACAGGAAAATAAAATGTATGACAGAAGAGCAGTCTACAGTCCTTTGCCCACTTACACCTTGGGACTGAATATAGTCTCCTTGTGGTTAATGATACACCTACGTTTGCCCATTTCTGTTCTGCCTAGTGATATAAAACCCCAACACAAGTGTGACACCAGTATCTGGTCAGTTACAGCGTCATACAAAGCAGTGATCTTTATTCACTATTTGAATGTCAACTTTCTTTTAAGGAGAGATTTCCTCAGAATCCTGAGCTGCATTTTGCCCATTAAGCTACAAAAATGCTTTTGCCTGTAGCAATTTCTCTGCTGACAGGCATTTTTCTCCAAATTCAGCAAAAAGATAATAGTTCCCATGGTGAATCTTTGAAAAGCAGAAGTTAGTGATATTACCCAGTACAACACTCATGCTCGATATTAAAACAACAACTACAAAATGGACCTATGGACTTTCAATGTGGTGTTTTATTTCCCTAAAACCCTGCTGTTACTCTCCAAGTGACAATGTCTTACTAAAGAAAAGCTTCCAGGAAAGTTTTATTTAATGCCACTGTTATCCATAACTTTCCAGGCTTCAAAGGCAGTTTTTTCTCAAACAAACAGTGGAAAAGAGCCCTTATCCAGCCTAACTGGTGCATTTACTTCTAGAGCTGAAAAATAAGTAACTGGTTTATTAATTGACTTTTTTCTTAAAGCACTTGAACCATTTCAGAATAACAGTTTGCTCTGATTTTACAGATACTAATGCAAATGTTAGTCTTAAAGCCTCATAAAAAAAAAACACTAAAAAATCCCATCAAGAAAATTACCATTCAGTTTTCCCAGGCAGAGTTTGGTTTTTCTAGCTTATTCATATACAATAATTTTGAATTTTCTAAGGGTAATGTTTTTATTGCTGTTTTACCACTATATTGTTTTGTTTATGTATAGCGGAACTACAAGTGTAATCTTCTTAGCCATCTTGACCTAAAACAAAAATGCAGCATCCTCATTCTATCATTAGCAGCTGTCTTTCATATAATTCCAAAAGCACGCACAGATGAAAGCATCTATTAGAAAGAAATGTTTCGATTTAAGATAAATACTGCATCTACACTTACTGGCAAGCAATCCGATTCCATTTGCCAGTGATCCAACCCAAGCAGTCTTGCCTTTCCCTTCTCCAAAAGTATCCAGCCATTCTAAATACAAGACTCCAACCGCCAGCGGTGATCCGTAACACAAGAACTGAGTAAAGAAGGAAACAACAACAACTACCCAGCCCCAGCCACCATCTGGTGGTTTCCGAAATACCATCTTGTCAGAGGAGTGCAGATGTACAGGCAGAACCTGTGTAAACAAAAAACAAACAGAACAGAGAATTGGAAATGTGACTGATCTAGGTTTGCTAATACAAGGGAGCTGTACAGAGAAGTACACATTCAAACAGGCTTATTTCAACCACCCTTCAAGAAATATATGCAACACAACATACAGGCAATGAAAATTAGTTACAATTTGGTACTTCTACCTCTTCTGCATAACACAGGAACGGCACACAAAGCATTAGTACAATAATGTATTAGTACAATACATGCATCAGCACTGTATTACAGAAACAGGGAACATTTCATTTTCTGAGTGCTAAATAGGTTTTGTGAAGACCTCGGGTATTAATATCTGACACAGTTCAACAAGAGAACCACATGGCCACCACCTGTTAAGCCCTCAGATATCTTGAGTAAAGCATATAGGCTTGAAGGACAAGAAAAGCTACAAGTATAAAACAATCCAAATAAATAAGTTAGGATTTAAAAAAAACCCCACAAGTATAAAAATATTAGTTCAAGGTTAAAAAAAAAATAGTAAATCTCTACTTAGCTGTAACCTCAGAATAGTACCTTGCAGCTTAGCAAGGTGTTTGCCACCAGATAGTGTACTCTGGGAGGGACTGACCAAGAGGAAGACTGACATTCTGGAAATAGTTCCAGTTCAGTACTCTGCTCTGTCAACAAGGTGATGTGTAGAGGAGTGATGCATCCAAAAATCACTTTGTAGATATTAGTAAGTGAAGTGAGTTCTAAAACTGTATACACATGTTGGCTTATATGCCAAGACATGACAGTATTAAACATGCATACAAAAATCTCCTACAACCTGTTACAGTGTCCGCTCTCTGCACAGTTTGCACAAGTCACCCTTCCCCAAACTGGCACTCACTTCTTGGACTCCGTAAGTATCACCTTACTCCTTTGCACAGCAAGATCCACCACCCATGCATCTATGGCTTTAAATAACTGACTGTCTTCACACCGTCTCAAGACTAGTTTGTGAATGTAGGGACTGATGCTTCTAACATCTAGAAGTTTCCATGCTAAAGTGCTTTGGAGTTTGGATGACTCCAATGATACGTGAGTTCCTATGCACACAACTAACCTGCCCTCCCTCTCTACAGGGAAAAATCTGCCGAAGTGATGATCTCAAACCCCATGTTCTCTGTTCCTGGCTCTGTCACTAACCAGACGTGTGATTCTCAAGAATTTTATTTCCTTTACCCTGTAAGATAGAAACAGAGAAGATCTTACCCCACTGTCTTCATATACTCTCAGGGACCACCTTCGCACAGCAGCTTATGCACTGAGACTGCTGCAGTAACAGTTCTGCACTGGGAGACCCCCAAGAGGCAAAGCAGAAAAATACATGTGTTGCACTGCCTTTTTGACTTACAACCCAGAGGAGACAGGAAAAAATTGCTGCTGTGTGAAAGCAATGGTGTAAACAAGTAGACAGTAACAGAACTTCCATTCAAGCTCCCCGTACACTTTGTTCTGGCAATTTTTAAGAATTTGCATGGAAAATTTATGAAAAAGCTATAGTATATAATTTTGAGGAATAATTACTATAGAGACATGAAAAAGGCCAGTTCTAGTTTACGCACGCACTTAAACGTTACTTTGAGGGTCACAGAATCACATAATGGTCAGGGTTGGAAGGGACCTCTGGAGATCATCTAATCCAACCCCCCTGCCAGAGCAGGGTCACCTACAACAGGGTAGATACTTACAGGTGATGATAAAGAAATCCTTCAGCTTCCTACAAATGTAACTTCATGTGGCGACTCTCACCTGCAGAAAACGAGCAGCAAAGCAAGTTTTCAGTCAAAGTATCACTGCAACAGTGAACACAACTCTGAAAAACTGATGTCTTCACGTTAAATTTCTTCTTTTTAATACCTTTTCAGAGGAACTTCAGAAATAATCAAGTTATCTCAATGGAGAAATACTGATCCCCCCTTCAATTAATTAACAGCTGACAGTAGCCTTGAGCCTCAAAATAACAAAAACATTGTCTACTAACGTAAAATAAACTTTGATGTTCTAGGTCCTTTAGCAGTGATTTACAGTTTTAACATACTGACAGTCCTTCAAGATATGGTATTTTCAGTTACAAATGTTACAAAGTTGTATCTTTCATTTATAAATGTGAGCTCTGGTTTATTTCCTCAAATGGCTGGTGAGTGTCCCAAGGGTGACAGCTGGGATAGACAGAAATCATACCGTACCGTAAGGTATCAAAGCATTAAAAAGCTGCTTACAGGTACTTTCCTACAACAACAACCTTTATACAAAAGGGGAATCACCATAGTTCTACACAAAATATTTAAACTGTATATATGCAGTCACCAAAAGAGCTGACACTTGCATCTCTCTGTGCATTAAATAAGTATCACTTGGCTTGTTTTGTCCCTGACTGGAGTAAAAATGGTGGAAATAAGTAACAGCTTTAAGAAAAGACACTTCCACTGAGACAAAGCAAGGAGGTTTTCAGAAAACCCCTAAAATAATGGAAATAGCAAATAATCCCAACTCATATTTGTTTAAAAAGTAATCTTTACAAAACAAACACATTTTTACTGTTATATTGATTTCCACTATATTGACGCCCTAAAACTTGGCACAGAGACAACTCTGAGTTCAGTTCTGCTATTCTAAATATTTGATGGGGAGGAAGGGAGGGCAGGGCAGGAGAGGAAAAAGGTTTTTGTAGTCTTAGGTCACATAGTCTTGTTTAATAGAAAGACTAAAAAAACCTCTGGATCAGTTCCTCATCTGCTGCAAGTCTGAGTAGCTTTGTTGACTTTAACCAACTGCTCCCAACTTCTGGAAGCAAAAGAGCTGACCTCCTACATCCTGACGCCTCCTATTTTGCGCCACAGATCTCACTAGTATCTTTTAGCTAAATAACAAGATTTTAGGTAGTGAAAACATCATTTACAGTCTGCAATTGTCAAGCAAAAAGTGAAAACCCCTGCCATTTCCCCCCTCCCCCCCCAAAACGTCCTTGAAGTGAAAACAGATCTACAAAGTCCCAGAGTTTGTTTTTAAGAGCCAACATGACCTGGCTTTTCCTCCCCTTTCTTGCAGGTTGCTCCTTCATCTCACACCACTGGGTACCAATTACCTAAAATGAAGCATGTTTTCTAACTTCCCTGAAGGCATAAAGTCCTCCTGAAGACAGCACGGAGCTCAGAGCCCTGTGTGAGGAGAGCCCTCTGCTGCAATACATGGTTAAAGATGTCCCAGTCAACCAACTGCTGCTGGGACCGTGGATATCAATACACCTTTTACTGGTACATTATTTAATGCTTCCCTGAAAATGACAAGTTGTAGTATAAAAGCTTAGTAGCATGGACAAGAGCTGACAGTAGGAACTAAACCTTTGCTACTCCCAACACTGCCTGCACGGGCATCAAATCTGTGCATCAACTTGGGGGGGACCCAAGGTGCCTTTTACTATTTTCTATCTGTGCAGAAGGATGCAGACTGTACAGATACATGCAATCACCAAAACTAAAGCAGCAGAAACACACAGAGACAAGAGCACTCAACAGTTCTGTTTTCTTTTGGAACCAACCAGGAAGACTTGTACGATCCTGGGAAGAGGCGAACAACCATGGGTTTAAGATTCAGGTGGGAACCATTCCACAAACCTTACTGTTCGCAAAACCTGTTTCAGACTCCAGGAAACCTAGTCACATCAAAAATACTGAAATGGAGAAATGAAGCATAAAGGATTAAACAGTAACTTGAAGTTTGGTCAGAAAAAGCTTTTCAGTGAGTTGTACTCACTGAGAATAAGAATCAGAGGAAGAGAGCCGCTTGATGAAAGCCCTTACCACCACCAACAACAAAAAGGAACCCTAGAGAACAAACTGAACAACAACGGTTTCAATGTGGAGAGAGGTGTCTGGCTGCAAGTATTTTCTTTCATCTAAGCAGCTTGATCACAATATTGAGCTCTTTTTCTACAAGTCTTAAAATTTGGCTTAAAGATGACAGAGGAGCACAAAATAGGAATTGGTCTAAAGAACACGAGTACAACTGAAATGTTAGTCCTCAGCACAGAAACTTGTATTAATCTGTGGCAAAGGGAATCTTGAGAAAGACAGTAGCAATACGATTGTTTCCAATTTGTTATTTGTGCAACTGGAGTCTGGTTAAGTATGCTGCTTTCTGCGAGCAGCACACGGCTGCAAAGAAAGCTGATGTCAGCAGAATCACTGTGCGATTAACACTCAGCTATTCCAGTTTTGCAAGGCACTGGTACAAATTAAGACAGTACCAGCCAGAATGCTAACTTCCCTCGCTTTGAGTTGAATTAGATTTCATGTAAATTTCTGTGTATTTTTCAGGCAACATTCTTGCAATTATCATCTGAAGTTTCTGCTGCCCCTAGCTTGTAGGTAACACCTAGAGCATTAGAGTAGCTGGCAGTGAGGCATTACAGTTGTTTTTAAAGTACTCATCGTATCCAAACAGCTGCACACGTACTGATGTGAAGACATAAGCTTTGTATTAAATGCACCGAAAAAGACACATCTGTACTTTGATGACATCACACTTTAACGGGTGTTCTAACTACACTAGCTCTCCACGTTTAAATATTTGTCTTTAAGTTCTTTCACATTGAACGTATATATTACCCTCTCAGTTCTCAGCATTCGTGTCTACCTACTTCTCGTGTTCTTCCACTTTCCCTTTTTTTAAGTTATGCAAGAGGCTCATCAACATAAGTATCTCCTTCCATTTCTGCCTGACAAGGGAAGAAGCATGGAGTTTAAAACAAAACAAAACACCAGAACAAAAACTTACCGACGACATAATAATGTTTTTCCATTGTGCAAAATAAGTTCACATACAGAAGCATCAACTGGGGCAGCACATAAACCAGCCAGCTTTGTACAAATCTGTCAGCTCAGCAGAACCAGTCCTACCTGTTTCCAGAGCCTCATTGCCCCAGAGGGGATGGAACCCCTCTTGTCGTCCCCCCCTGTGAGTATAACTGCTTGTCAGACACCAGCATGCATCCAGGCTCACAGATGTTAACCACCAGACAACTGGATTTACCAAAGGAGAACTCCTCTGCAAAACACGAGCACGGTGTGCGCCGCCTTACGCATCACAACCTGTGAGGGCTCCCCTTGGCGTCCGCTCTCTCAGCCGCTCCGCACCCTTCGGACAGGTCCTCCGTGGGGACGGATGGGCTCTTTATAGCCCCCGGCTCGCCTCGCCTCTCCCCACGCCCCCGGGGGCCAGCCCACACCCCCCTCCAGAGGGCTGCCTGACGCGTTGACACCTTCCACCCCCAGACTCGTTTGGATGGGAAGCGCTCATCCGCGCAGTGACACGCGCTGTGAGGTGACTGAAGGTCGCCCTCGCCGGCCTGATGCCACGCACGTGGCAAGACAGGGTCATGCCATGCTGCCCTGCTCCCGGGGCAGCCACGGTCTTCCAGACAGGCACCCACTGGTGCTGACGGGCGCCCGCTGCCATGTGCCCACAGTGGGCGCTGATGCCACCACACCGCTGGGTACCCACCAGACACCAACAGGGACCCACGATGGACACCAGGAGGTACCCGCAGCCAACACCAAGGAGCGCTGGCAGCAGGCACCCAGGGGTGGACATCGAGGGGCACCCCACGGGACGCAGCACCCAGGGGCGACGGCAGGTCCTGCTCCCCGAATCCCGGGCATCGCAGACGCCCCTGCAGAGCCCACTCAGGGCCACCGGCCTGGCCCGGCCGCCCCCCACACTGACACCCGGGGCCGGGACAGCCCCCCCC